AATATCAGCATTAAGTACTTGAATAAGTAGGTACTAGCAGATGAAAACATTTTTATAAAAAAAAAGAAACATTTAAAAAATAATTTATCCATCAGAAAGTTTCATTAACTGAACCCTTTATTTCGCTCACTGGGATAGACTGTTCAAAGGCACATGACACAGTGGATAAAGGTGTTAGTTAGATCCAGTGACAGGACCCAAAGAGTTGTGTGTTCAATACCTGGTTAAGGCGGTAGAGATCTTTGAGAGGAAAATTAACAGCTGATAACTGACATCAATTAGACATGGCATGTGAAACTAGAACAGTCTACACCAGTGAGCGAAATAAAGGGTTCAGTTTGACATTCCAACCACCTGAAGAAGGCCAGAGCGTACAACGACCGAAACGTTGTGATAAACATGGCAACAAAGATGAGGACAATAGTCCGAATAATGTAAATAGTGTACCTCATCTCAGAAATATAGACAGAGTAATCGTTGACATTACAAAATTGGCAACGAGTGTTCGTTGACATCACAAAACAATTTCAGGCACACATGAGCACAAACAGAAGTTTCATATAGGAGTAAATAGGTTCGCCTATCGTCCAGTTTACACTACTCCTCGGTCTTTCGAACAGGAGTAGAGGTTTATCCATTGTTTCCTGTTTAAGACTGGGTTTCCGGTTCCTTCTAAAGTTTGCTTCAGCTCTATACGCCTAACGCTTGCCCTTTCTTATGCTAATACAACTCCACACAGTAACCCTCTACCTTGAGTGACTCTTGGGCCTTGTATTAGGTGAACATCAGTAAAATGTAACACATTTACAAAATCAAAATGTAGTAGAAAATAGAAAACCCGACTAATGACTACACTGCTCCTGGTGTTTCAAAGTCTATTTAAAATATTTCTCGCAACAACGATGAGAATAACTGGTCTAGATCATGATTTTCCGATAAATACAAGGAAAGTTATGTTGAAAAATGAGATCTGCTGTCCGTTATATGCAGGCAGAATCTACTTGATATGATTTTTTGTAAAAGACTGCCTGCCGTTTATAACACTCCATTTAAACAAGATATCAACGACTTTCCTTGCAAAAAGATCACAATCCAACATTTATCATTAAAAAAAACCCTGCAAATTTTGATTAACTTCAAACGATCATAACTTAAATATTTACAGATAGGGCTCTAACAATACGATTTCTCACACATCATTAAGAGATAATTAGAAAGATTCCTTTTCCTTTGAATCAACTTAAGTACCTAAAGCTTTCAGGAAATTCGTCGCCAGTCCATTTGTGAGTCAACTTAAGTGTGAGAGTTTTTTAGGATTTCTATCTCCAGCTGTCTTTGAATTGGCAAACATAAAATGTTGTTAATGATTTTAGATAATCATAAAAGTAGAATCATTTGAAGATTTGACCACTCGTCTGGCTTTCGTGTGGTCTCTTGTTCCAGAACACAAAGAGACGGATAGGAGTGGTCGGACCCCATCCAGTAGCCACATTAGCAGAAAAAGGGGTCCAGCAGTCAGTGAATAATTAAGGAGGTGACCAGTGAGTGAGTAGCTGCCCAGCAGCCAAGGAGGAAGGGCCAGCGCAAGTTGGGGAGATAGCAATTCAGCCGATGGAAAACATAACCGGCTAAGTGAGAATTCGTATTGTTGCTATTTCCCAACCGAAGTGTCTTGAAAAGCAATTGTCGAATAACAATAACAAACAGCACTTACCGGCGTAAAGGTCCCAGCTAGCGTCCAGCTGGCAGACAAAAATAAAGCAGGTTGTAACTTAATACAAACCCTGCAAACTAACTGATGAATCAAGCTGGTATTTATATAGAAATACCTCCACTCAGGTACCAACAGCCAATCACAGCCCAGGCAATGGACTATCCCACTTTAGCACAATGAGATGCTCCATGGCAACATAAATAGCTCTCTTTCTAAAGGTTGGATTCTTATTCACTTAGCTTGCTCCAATATTTATTTGCATTTAAAATACAAAATGTGGCACAAGGCCGAAAAGGGGGAAGGGGAATGACGGTCTTCATCTGTCTTAAATCTAAACTTAGCTAGTCGCAGACACTGACCCAAACATGCCAACAATAATCCAATCACCAAAAACAACACATTCACTCCTACCTTTCTTTCTACGTCCACCATAATACCTCAGTTTCTCTATGAAGTCCTAACTAGTCCCCTTATTTACAGATATTGTTCATGGGGGGTGGGTCATAAAATAACAACTTTTAAAATCCCCCAAATGAATATTTACAAAGTGAATTAATTATTTACAATAAACTAAACAAAATTAAGTTAGTAATAAAACCCCCGACAAACTATGAATGTGGCAGAAATATCAGTTAACCGGACGAAATCGATGCGGGACTAAGAAAATAAGAAAACATTCAAACCATCATGATTTTTCCACATTGTCATTATTGTTTGTTTTGTAATGTTGGACGGCTTCGTTTGTCACTTTTACTATGTCAAGCGGAAACTCGTTATCACTTCCAAAAATACTCGTTATATTTGAGACTTGGTAGACACCGATACTAGTTGTAACGTCTTCCAATAATATCCGCACCAGTAATACTTGCTCCAGTAGTAATCGCCAAATAGTATAATGATCAGAAGAGAATTGTAATCTGTAAAGTAGTAAAGTAGAGAGAGTAACCGTATAGCAATAGTGGATAGACAAGAAGAGTGGACAATGATAATATTTATTGTAAAGTACAAATATGGCATAAGGCCAAAAAGGGGAATGGGGAAAAGGACGGTCTTCTGTCTTAACATTAAACTTAGCTAGCCACAAACACTGACCCAAGCATACAAACAATATCCTTTCCACCAAAACAGCGCATTCTTACTTACAATTCTTACATCATCCACCATAATGAATCAGAAACTCTATGAAGTCCTAATTAGTCCCTATATGTAAAATTCATTGTCTGGGGGGAGGGGAATAAAAAAAAAACAATTTAAAAATCTAGCAGCCCCAATGAGTATTTACAATATGTGTACAAAAACTATATACAAGACACTGAACAAAATAGCGAAGAGTGATCGTATAATCATCACGCTACTTCTTATTTATTCACTTCCTTTATGATCACGTGATCTACTTAATAATGGAATCGCCCGTTTTACTCACTGGCGATCTAGTTTCAAACCACAGTATCGGCAACGTCACTTAATCTTATACAATAATTTGAGAATTCAATTACGGCAAAGTGGATAAACTTGTGCACATAGCTAGTTGGGTGTATATGCAAACACAGCCGACCTTGGAAGTCTTCACAGATGCAGTGAACGACGGACGAACGGATGTCGTTGTCACAGGTCAAAGTTCGACCAATATTGAAATCCCAACATTGCCTCCTTTCATATTACTTGGGACAGCACTATGTAAATATGTAAGTCCGGATCGTACAACGGCCGAAACGTCGTGAATATAGCAATAAAGATGAGAACACCAGTCCGAACAATGTAAATGGTGTAAATAATTACAATACCTCATCTCAGAAATATAGAGAGATACCTAAAGAAGTCCTGATCGTACAACGGGCGAAACGTCGTGAATATAGCAATAAAGATTAGAACACCAGTCCAAACAATGTAAATGGTGTAAATAATTACAATACCTCATCTCAGAAATATAGAGAGACAGTGAAGAAATCCGGATCGTACAACGGCCGAAACGCCGTGAATATAGCAATATAGATGAGGACACCAGTCCGAACAATGTAAATGGTGTAAATAATTAAAATACCTCATCTCAGAAATATAGAGAGACCCTGAAGTAGTCCGGATCGTACAACGGCCGAAACGTCGTGAATATAGCAATGAAGATGAGAACACCAGTCCGAACAATGTAAATGGTGTAAATAATTACAATACCTCATCTCAGAAATATAGAGAGATCCTGAAGAAGTCCGGATCGTACAACGGCCGAAACGTCGTGAATACACCAATATAGATGAGGACACTAGTCCGAACAATGTAAATGGTGTAAATAATTACAATACCTCATCTCAGAAATATAGAGATATCCTAAAGAAGTCCGGATCGTACAACGGCCGAAACGTCGTGAATATACCAATATAGATGAGGACACTAGTCCGAACAATGTAAATGGTGTAAATAATTACAATACCTCATCTCAGAAATATAGAGAGACCCTGAAGAAGTCCGGATCGTACAACGACCGAAACGTCGTGAATATAGCAATATAGATGAGGACACCAGTCCGAACAATGTAAATGGTGTAAATAATTACAATACCTCATCTCAGAAATATAGAGAGATCCTGAAGAAGTCCGGATCGTACAACGGCCGAAACGTCGTGAATACACCAATATAGATGAGGACACTAGTCCGAACAATGTAAATGGTGTAAATAATTACAATACCTCATCTCAGAAATATAGAGATATCCTAAAGAAGTCCGGATCGTACAACGGCCGAAACGTCGTGAATATACCAATATAGATGAGGACACTAGTCCGAACAATGTAAATGGTGTAAATAATTACAATACCTCATCTCAGAAATATAGAGAGACCCTGAAGTAGTCCGGATCGTACAACGGCCGAAACGTCGTGAATATAGCAATAAAGATGAGAACACCAGTCCGAACAATGTAAATGGTGTAAATAATTACAATACCTCATCTCAGAAATATAGACAGATGCATAGAAAATCTTTTGGTCGACTCGATGTGATACAATAGTTAGCAAGCTTGTCTCGCTAGAAAAATTACGACTAGGTAGTGAGTTCGATCCTCACCGCGTGTTCCATACTTTCGGCCTTGAGCCACATCCTAGTCATGCTTAGAAACTCACTATAAATACAAATACTTGGAATTAAGTTAAAGTTAGACCACATCTGAAATCCTGAGACTGTCTCCTTTCAGACTAAATACAGCACAGAGCACTTGGGAAAATTTCCGAAAAGAGGCAAATATTAGATTGCTGTAAATGACAGAAAAGCATGAAATGTGTATGTGTTTTTATAAATATCAGTTCCCGTACGATCGCCAAAGTTAAGCAACATCAAGCCTGGTCAGTACCTAGATGGGTGACCACTTTTGAAAACCACGTGCTGTAAGCTTGCATGTTATAAAAGGAATTACGGCCATATCATGTTGAAACACCGGTTCCCGTAAGATCACCGAAGTTAAGCAACGTCGAGCATGGTCAGTACCAAGAGGGATGACTGCTTGTGAATACCATGTACTGTAAGCTTGCATGTTATAAAAAGGATTACGGCCATATCACGTTGAAACACCGATTCCCGTGCCATCACTAAAGTTAAGCAACATCGAACTTGGTCACTACCTAGATAGGTAACCGCTTAAAAATACCAGGTGCCCGAAGTTTGAATGTGCGGGTAGTGTAATGGATAATGGCACGAAATTATAATCGGGGAGTCGAGTTCCCGTACGATCATTGAAGTTAAGCAACGTCGATACTTGTCAGTAACTAGATGGGTGACCACTTGGGAATATTAGGTGCTGTTAGCCTGGATGTGCGGGTGGTGTAATGTATAATGGCTCTGAATTATTAACCGGGGAGCCGAGTTCCCGTACGATCATCGAAGTTAAGCAACGTCGATTCTTGTCAGTACCGAGACGAGTAACCACTTGGGCATACCAGGTGCTGTTAGCTTAGATGTGCGGGTGGTGTAATAAAGAATGACTCGGAATTATTAATTGGGGAGCCGAGTTCCCGTACGATCATCGAATTCCACAATGAATCTCCAACTCTAGAATATCTACCAACCGTCCTACGCGGTCAGATGTGGCACAAGGCCGAATTTAATGTGGGGTATCCGAGCCCGTAGGCTCGGCCAAAAATTCCCCGTAGACACCGTATAAAACGGGGCCGAGTATCTGTTTCCAGAGACGAGATTCTACTCTTCGACACTCTGTCCTGGGGGTCCTCTCTGCCCGGAGGCAATTGTAATTATGGGACTGGGGGCATACTCATTATCGTCTGTAGGTGTGCTACAATTTGTATCAAGGAAACCATTATTATCTTAAAAACAAAAAAAAAGTTCTTACATTCTAAAAATATTTTCTGGCTTTAAATAACTTGTAAAGGGTTGCTAAACCGTAGAAAATGAATCAATTAATCAACCCATCTAGATTTCCGTCTTCTTTTCCTGAAAACCAGCAACAAGGGTCGAAGGAACATTACACGCGTCTTTTCGATTTTTCTCGGGAATATAAATTTATAGAAACGACCGTGGCCACAAAGTGAGGGATCCGTTATTATACTGATTTTGATGTAGAATTACGAATAACAATAATCACAACACTTGAAAAAACTTCCAAAGCAACGACAAAATTGGAAAGATGATATAATCAAGATGTTGACTTTCCACACTTCTTTAAACAAAAAGTTAGGAAGGAAACTTTCATCAATAGTGAATATACATATATATATTTATATATATATATATATATATATATATATATGGACATTCGTATTCGATGATACCCGTCTACTAGGGCGGTTAACCAATCCCTACTGCAGACGCTTGCTCAGGCGCATTTGTGTTTGTTTAAGACCCCACATAGGCTATCTGCAACTAAGCTGAGCAATTACAGTTTCTGGGAAAGAAAGTGTTATCTAACGCGATCAACAATTTGAACAAATCCAATACGCTCAAACTCTCGATGACTTGTGACTACCCCAATTTCACTTATAAGGTTTTTAGGCACTTTCCAAAAGGTGCCGCACACAGGGATCGATCCCTCCAGTCCGATAACATCAATAAGTTTCCTTCTTGACAAATCGGCCATAATGAGATTCAAACCGAGGTCTCATGGTTATAATGCAAACATTCTAACCACGAGCCCCTCTCTCTCTCTCTCTCTCTCTATATATATATATATATATATATATATATATATATAGTTGTATATTTAGGCAGCAATCCTTCCTTTATGCATGTTTCATTAAAAACGACAAACAAGGTACTACGGTTAAGCTTTTTATTCAATTTTTCTTGTGTGCTGACAAGAGCTTTCTTTTCTGGACAAAGGGTGTGTAAGAACTGTCCAAATGTTTTATATTTATGAGCGCTTTCGGCTATACCTTTAGCCGTTATCAAGGATGATTCGATTTTTCAGATTAATTGAGTGTGTGCGTTCTGTTTATGTATTAGTGTGGTAGGGATGTTTTTAATTTCCGAATACGGTTAGCACATTGTGGCTGTGTTCGTAGTTAATATTGTTAAGAGTTGGCTTTTTCTTTTTTATTATTAAAGCTTCCATTATTTTTAGTCTTTTTTGCAGGTGGATGCAGTTAATATATTTGTGTTTTCTACTAGTATGTTCCTAATGGAGTCGGGTAAATTTGTGTGTGTTTAAATGGGTACTAATGGAGGTGTGATCAGATTGGTGTAACGTAAGACGTCTGGATAAGCATGTGGTTGTGTAACCGATGTAATTATTTATGAGTTACATATATATATATATATATGTGTGTGTGTGTGTGTCTAATGAGTTTGCGGATATTTATTAATATCGTGTTCCGCGAACTCTGTGGCACTGTTCTTCGCTAAACTTTGGCGTAAATGGGTCAAGAGAAATGAAAAATATTCTTTAGTTTTACTTATATATTTCTTTCCTTTCAGCTTTTTTTCTTTCTTTTTTTTTTATTTTCATTGGATTAAGACAAATTGTCTGACATGTGAACTGCAATGTATTTTTAAAACTGGTCTGAAATCAAATGGCCACCGTTTATAAATCGGGCTACTTTCTCTTGAGCTATTTCCGTTGTTGTCAGGTTGGTTAGTGGTGATAAGCAGGAGAGAGAGGAAAATGTAAAAAGAGAGACGGTAAAGCAAAAAAAAAAAAAAGGAGAGACAAGAAAAAAAAAAAAAAAATAGAGACAGGAAAGCAAAAAAAAAAAAGGGAAAGAAAAAAAAAAAAAGAGACAGGAAAGCAAAAAAAAAAAATGGAGAGACGAGAAAGCAAAAAAAAAAGAGGAGAGAAAAGCAAAAAAAAAGGAGAGACAAAAAAAAAAAAATGGAGAGACGAGAAAAAAAAAAAAAAAAAAAAAGAAAAAAAAAAAAAAATGGAGAGAAAAAAAAAAGAGACGGAGAGACAAAAAAAGGCAAAAAAAATGGAGAGACGAGAAAGCAAAAAAAAAAAAAGGAGAGACGAGAAAAGGCAAAAAAAAAAAAAATGGAAAGCAAAAAAAAGAGACAGGAAAGAAAAAGCAAAAAAAAAATGGAGACGACGAGAAAAAATGGAGACCAAAAAAAAATGGAGAGACAGAAAAAAAAAAAAAGAAGCCAAAAAAAAAATGGAGAGACGAGAAAAAAAAAAAAAAAAAAAAAAAGAAAATGGAAGGAGAGACGAGAAAAAGCAAAAAAAAAAAACGGGAAAAAAAAAAATGGAGAGAAAAATAAAAAAAAAAGAGACAGGAAAGCGGGAAAGCAAAAAAAAAAAAAAATGGAGACAGTAAAGGAAAAAAAAAAAAATGGAGAGACGAGAAAGCAAAAAAAAAAATGGAGAGACGAGAAAGCAAAAAAAAAAATGGAGAGACGGGAAAGCAAAAAAAAAAAAAAATAAAGACGAGAAAAAAAAAAAAAAAAAAAAAAAGGAGAGGACAAAGGGAAAAAAAAAATGAGAAAAAAAAAAAAAAAAAAATGGAGACGGGAAAAAAAAAAATAGAGACGAGAAAGAAAGCAAAAAAAAAAATGGAGACGAGAAAGCAAAAAAAAAAAAAAAAAATGAGAGAAAAAAAGGAAAAAAAAAAAAAAAAAAGAAAAGCAAAAAAAAAAAGAGCAAAAAATGGAGAGACGAGAAAGCAAAAAAAAAAAAAAGCAAAAAAAAATGGAACGAGAAAGAAAAAATAAAATGAGACGGGAAAGCAAAAAAAAAAATAAAACAGAGAAAGCAAAAAAAAAAATGGAGCAAAAAAAAAATGGAGAGACGAAAAAAAAAAAAAAAATGAGAGACGAGAAAGCAAAAAAAAAAAGGAGAAAAAAGACAGGAAAAGCAAAAAAAAAAAGCAAAAAAATGGAGAGACGTGAAAGCAAAAAAAAAAAGAGAGAGACAGGAAAGAAAAAAAAAAGGGAAGAGAAAAAAAGGAGAGGAAAAAAAAAAAGGAAAAAAGAAAAAAAATGGGAGAGACAGGAAAAAAAAAAAAAAAAATGGAGAGACGGGAAAGGAAAAAGAAAAGGAGAGATGGCAAAGCAAAAAAAAAATGGAGAGATAGAAAGCAGGAGATACGGAAAAGCAAAAAAAAAAAGGGAGAGAGACGGAAAAAAAAAAGAAAAGGAGAGACAAAACGAAAAAAAAAAAGAAAGGGAGAGACGGGAAACGAAAAAAAAAAAAAGGAAACGAAAAAAAAAAGGAGAAAAAAAAAAAAGGAGAGACGGGAAACGAAAAAAAAAAAAAGCAGGAGACGAAAAAAAAAAAAAAAGAGACGGAAAAAAAAAAAAATGGAGAGACAAAAAAAGCAAAAAAAAAAATGGAGACGGAGAACAAAAGGCAAAAAAAAAAAAGAGAGACGAAAAAGCAAAAAAAAAAAAAAAAAAGAGACGAGAAAGCAAAAAAAAAAAAAAAATGGAGAGAAACGAAAAAAAAAGGAGAGAAAGCAAAAAAAAAAAAAAGTAAAAGAAAAGGGAGAAAAAAAAAAAAATGGAGAGAAAAAAAAAAAAGCGCGAAAAAAAAATGGAGAGACAGAAACGAAAAAAAAGAAAGGAAAAAAAAAAAAAAAAGGAGAGACGGGAAACGAAAAAAAAATGGAGAGACGGGAAAGCAAAAAAAAGAAAATGGAGAAACAAGAAGGAAAAAAAAAAAAGAGAAAAAAAAAAAATAAAAAAAGAGACGGGAAAAAAAAAGAAAAGAGACGAAAAAAAAAAAAAATGGAGAGACGGAAAGCAAAAAAAAAAAAGGAGAAACGAAAATGAAAGGAAAAAAAAGGGGAGACAAAAAATAAAAAAAAAAATGTGGAGACGAAAAAAAAAAAGGAAAGCAAAAAAAAAATAGAGAGTCAGGAAAGCAAAAAAAATGGAGACGAAGCGAAAAAAAAAAACGAAAAAAAAAAAAAATGGAGAGAAAAAAAAAAAATGGAGAGACGAGAAAGCAAAAAAAAATGGAGAGACAAAAAAAAGGGAGACCAAAAAAAAAAAAAAAAAAGGAGAGACGAGAAAGTAAAAAAAATGGAGAGACGGGAAAGCAAAAAAAAAAAAAAGAAAAAAAAATGGAGAAAAAAAATAGA